ATCAGATACCTACTACACTGCTCTGATTCTAGATCCTCGGGTGAAAGGAGACCTAATCCTCAATGAATTAGAGGATAAAGAGGCTGGGAATCTAATATTAAGAGCTGTCCGTAACAGTCTTCATCAGAAATATCCACTTCGGAACTGCGAGTCGCCTAGAACGGTATTACAGCAGTCGGCATCAGAAATCAAGACGGTAGAATCCCGAATGCTCCAACGGCTACAGCCTCAAGCGGTGCCCCTTCTGTCCGATATTGATCGGTACTTTGATAGTCCTCGAGTTAGCAATATTGATACTACAGATCCGAATTGGCTTTGTAACTGGTGGCGAGTACACAAGGATGAACTGCCTCAAATGGCAGCAGCAGCAAGAGAGTATCTACCAATTCCATCGTCAGAGGTGTCAGTGGAACGATTATTCAATGCGGCAAGAGATATATTAGGTATCCGGAGATATTCGATGAAGGGTGAAACAATGCGGATGTTGATGTTGATAAATGATCCCTATGCAAAGCCCTAGAATTCCAGCAGCTAAGTTATCCAAAAATCTTTATAGAAATCAGATTGAAGCTAACTAGTCCTAATGAAGTAGTTTACCGATTCACCGATTTCGCCGATATTGACAAAATTTAACGGATAAAATATCGGTAGAATAGAAAGCTGCCGATATGAATCGGCGAATCGTATCCGCAAACCTGAAAGGTTGACGATATCGTATCCGTGCCGATATCGTATCCGCAAAATCGGGAAATCCGCCAATCGGGAACAGCCCTAGCGTTTCCATACCACTAGTTATTCTCTCTGTAAGGGTCTCACTGTAGGGGAACTCCAATCGTGAGGCAAGCATTGAATTGTTGCTATGAAGGAGGAATCTATCTAAAGTGTGCGAGGCGTTATGTCCTGGTGCTGCAGAGTTAACTCAGCAAGCTCAGACGGTATCTTCAGATGCTGCACGTGACTATAGTGTGGCAGTGCAGGCAAGGCATCTTATGCAGCAGTGGGAACAGCAGTAAGGGTGGATAAGGTCACAAGACGGTCGTGGGCGTAGATTGAGATGGTCACGAGCAACAGACGAGTAATAGACGAGTTAAGGAATATAGATTGATGATATTTGTGCCGTAGTACTTCGACTGATTCTTAGGGAAGGAAAAGGAGAATTGTCCAATAAAAAGGTTTGCACAGAGTAGCCCTCGAGTCTGTGGGGACTCCCCAAACATCAGAAACAGTAAGCTCACGGCATCGATATGACGATATCCATAACCTGCACATTTGAGGTTTGGGCGACTTGGCAGACGCCCGAACAGATCCAGGTTCTGGACGAAGATAAGGTCCCAACTAGTTTACGGAGGATAAGAGACTGATCGCATACTACGGGGATTCCAACGTGCGTGATCGCCGCTACATGGATTTCTCCACAATGGCTCCAAATTTCGACGACAATTGGGTGAAACGGCGACCTCGATATATGTCGAAACTTGAACTTCTTCACAATGAGACAAAGAGAGCGGCCGCAGCCTGTGGTCCATGCAAGTGCCCAATTATGGGCTTGTGGAGAAAGATCACATATGAGCCTGGTTCCACACAGGAAAAGCAAGAATACATAGCAAGACCACATAATACCGCCGTACTGTAGCGATAAATAATGCGCTAAGAAGGGAAGATGGTAAAGGAAAATAACAGGCATTCCCGTCGACTGACATGTAGCCTCCTCCAGGAGGGAAGAAATTGATAGCTGTCCAGGTGCTGTCTATTTCGGTTTAGCGCGTCATGAGACATATTTAGTTAACCTCTTCCAGTTTAGCGTTATTCACGTGCCGTAGTTTCTCCGATCCATGTTCACTAACAAGTACCTTCTGTTTCACGAAATTTACTGTCTTCGATGACTTTGCAACATTTACCCATTAACGCTCCTGCCATCTCCATGAGTTTTTCGCGTTCGCGACGTCCACGACGTCCACGGCGTCCACGGCGTCCGCCATGTCTTCTCCATCCTCTCCGATATCCGATCGTCCCTTGAACTCCTCCAATCCCTCCAATCCGCCCCAAACGTCCACCATGGTGCCAAGAGATCGCTCAGAAGGACGAGATGTCCATGTCTATGATGCCAATGACTCTACCACCGTACTTGGTGGACTGGTTCTCACAAATGGTGTCACAAATAGCAACTTCTACTCGATGGTGGATATTCTTGTCTTGTTTACAAGCTGCTTCGAATTGCAACATGAAGAAACCAAAGTTGAGAGAAATGATGACCCGCTTCAGCCCGGGAAGTACTACATTATTGCTGCAGGTGAGTTTATGTCTAATAAATCTTGTTATAGCTAACCTAGGTGTCATGAGCAGGTCCTTTCTCGGTCAATAATGAGCCGTGGTTACTCCGAACCATATCTCATTCCACTGGAACCCGTACCGATTCCTTCCGCAATGCCATCCGTTCGCGAGACCGTCGATGCGTCATATCCGGGCAAAAGGCTGTTGGTGCATATCGTAATAACTGGAGAGGCTTTGAGGCTGCTCATGTATTCCCCCTGGCCTATGAGGGCGATTGGACTCAGCACGGCTATGATCGCTGGATTACAATTCCACCTGAAAAAGGTGGAACCATTAACTCTGTGCAAAATGGGATGTTGCTCAGGACCGACATACACCAGCTATTCGATAGCTATGACCTCTCTATTGACCCTGACGTACGTATGCCTTTCTTTAAAGAAATACCAGATAATAATTATTTTAGGATAACTACAAGATCGTGTTCTTCTCCGATGATGGGGCGGGTCTCGCGGGAAAGTGTCTTGATCAAGAGTTTCGTAATAATCCTCAACGACCCGTCGATCCGCTTCTGCGATGGCATTTCAGACAGGCGGTTCTAGCAAATATGAGGGGTGCTGGCGAGCCTCAGTTCGAGCATGATTTCCCGCCAGGGTCGGACATGGTTGGTGACATTCTTAATGGTCCAAAGGCAGCTGAAAGGATGGAGTTTGAGCTGTTCAATCGCCTAGCAGCCTAGGTCGAAACTATATAACTTATCTTTAGACAAGGCAGGAAAATGTTACTTCTCCAGGTTCGCTAATAAGCTAGAAATCTTTTATGCCCATGTTACAGCTTCGGCATACCGCTTGAACAAACAACGCTGTGCCATGAACATTTATCATAATCAAACCATGAGCTCAACCTGGGTAACCCGCTTAGCTGGATCGACCGAGTGTGCATTAATCAAGGCGACCTTCAGGAGCGCGCAAGCCAGGTTCAGCGAATGAAAGACGTCTACCAACAGGCATCCTTGGTCGTGGTTTGGCTTTGTTGACATGGCTGTCTTCAACGACAAGTTGTCGTCTTTGTTTCCAACCTGTGTGGAACTTAGTGCCTCAGGTATCAAGATCCTTTGATGTTTGGATGACCACTTTAACAATGTGGTCAATCTCTATTGCCAAACCTTTCCTTTGTACGAACATTCCTCTACAACGACAAAGGAAAGGAATATGCTGCAAACGGATAGGCAGGAGGATTATATAAGGAACGATCCTGTACTGTTATTTAGTTCTACACAACGCAACTATTCTCCAGATATTGGATTGTCATTCTAAGAACAACAGCTACAGCTGGTATTGTTCTTCGTCTTATCTTTCTTCCTTTGAACTATATGGAGTTCCTTACCCACTGTGCCTGAGGTTGAGCCTTTGTAGATATTCCAATCGTGGAAGATTGAGCCTCTACAGACATTCCAATCTCAACAGGTTTGGTGACGAAGATCACTCAAGTGCTCACGCTTTTGATGCTTTTCGTGAGATGGTAGAGCACCTCAGCTGGGAAAGGCGCAAACCTAAATGGTTGATCAAATCAATAGTTGCGGATCCTAAGAGATGGAAAGCAATCAGCGACATACTCAACTGGCCGTGGTTCCGCCGTACTTGGACTATACAGGAGGTTTTGGCCGCTCGCGAAGTTTATGTTCTTTGTGGCAAGGATTCGATTACTATGACTTTGTTCCTGAGGATCATCTACCATATGGATAGTGGATCCGTTGGTTCATAGACAACGATCACCGCAAATCCGGAACGGCGAACACATCATCAAATCAGTGAAAGGGAGCAAAGATACAGTGTATGATTTTTAAGGACAACTCTCCCAACCCAAAATACAATCATCGCTACTATGTAGTCAATGGTGGGGGGTTGTGTCGCAAGATGCCCCTGTTGGTTTCTACTGCCCTAACATTCCTTTCACTGCCCATTACCCCTAGGCTAAGCCTATTTCGGACTGTTTAGTCTCTTCCCATGTATTTAGTTATCTTCAACTGTTTGGCTAGCTAGATCTCCTTTTTGGAGAGAATGGGAATCGTCAATACCAACTTGCGTTAACTATGACTCTACAGCAACTGAGCCAAAGCAGCGAACGTGCTTAATCATCACCCCCGCGAAATGCGACAGGTTGAAACTTTATTCCAAAGTGTTGCCAAGGTACTCCGTATTCGCTGGACAGTTTCACGTCACATTGGTGCGCCACTGCAACTGTCGAGTCCGAGTTATCTTTCGTTGGCAACGCCAAACATAGCTCTGATTCTATTATTCGATGTCGCCTACTCGTCTTACGGCACGATCCGATTTCAAAGTATCTGCATTAATAATCGAGTAAATATTACTCATTAGCTGTCGCCATTTGTACTATCCACTGGTATAAAGACACTATCTGCAAAGACGGTGGGTGAGGAGGTTTCAGAAAGGTTCAGAGGACGAGTTTCATGATTATAACTTTTCCAAATCTGCAGCCGAGAGCAACTGTTACGGTTCAAATCAGAGGATTTGGTTGTGCTTGAACGTTATCCAATTGTTACCGAAAGAGGCGAGAAACAACTCTCAAGAAGTAAATACACGGGTGTCTATGGGCTCGCAAGCGGACAGAGTATACGGAATTCTTAATTTCTATAGAAGGTGCTCACAATCTTCGAATATCAAAAAGTGCACGGTACTAAACGGTATCCGACGGTGCTCCGCTTCTGTTGACGTGTCGGTAGATAAAAGGTACAGGCGCCAACAGAACTATTTGCAATTTGCAAACAGCAAAGACGGTTCGGTTTAAACCACATTTGGCTAGACCAACTCTTCCTCTAAATATATAAAATGTCTACATAGTAAGTCTCTGTCATCTGTGATTTGGAGGTTTCGGTAAATTTGGTCATTACGCGAATACTTAGTTATCAAACACCAGTCAAATGAACACTACACCAGCGAAGGGGACTTACAAGACACTATTGTGTCGGATAATAGCTTGTTTGACGTTTCTTGACTGCCTGGCAGGAACTCCCGTTGCTGGTATGTATTTGGTTTTTGGACTGTTGAACTAGATGATGCTCCTTTTTTGATCTCGGCGTTTTGTATTATGTACTATCTATCTCATAGTCACGAACAAGAACCCATCGACCTTTGAGGCGGAGTATTATTATACGAAAACAGAGCATTCTCCCCCCCAAACCACACCGCACTGGTTTCAATGTCTTATGATACCTTACAATGCCTACTCGGTTGTCCGCCGCCGGTGGTGACGAGGGCCAGAAAGCTCCAACAGCTTGCCGAAATCGGGAGTACCCAGCCCAGTCACCGGATCCCATCCAGGCACTGCCGCCCAGGAAGCGTCTGGAACGTAGGGTGTTGGGAGGCCAGAATACGCGTCTTTTCCGGTGCAGCCCGTGCTTCCCCCGTGCACGATATCCGTGAGCCCCTTATACCCGACGGAGTACAGCCACGGGTTGAGGAAGCCCAAGGGCCCCTTCCCAGCTTCCAGCCGGGCAGCGTTCAGGAGCCCCACGATGCCCGCAATGGTCGGGGCAGACGCAGAGGTACCGCCAACGGCAATCTCGTCCCCATGATCGACGACGCGGAATCCCTTGCCCTGCGCCGCGATGTCGGGGAACCCACGACCTTCCGGGTTATACAGTCCGTCCCACTTGGATCCTAGCTGCTTGAGGAATTTGGAAACGTGTCCAGCTTGCCACTTCGGGCGCGGGAAGCGGTCGGAGAACCCGCCGGAGGAGAAGTAGACGGCCCGCTCGGGGTTCACTCCGATCGTGCCTCCGACGGAGGTAACATAGGGGCAAGCGGCGGGGAAGATGGGCAAGAATCGAGTCGTGTTCTTACCGTCATTCGTCATGCAAGCGCTGGCTACGCCGGTGTCGCCCGAGGAGAAAAGTACGGAGACACCGCGTGCCCCGAGGCCGCCAATGAGGTCACAAACCTCCTTGGTGTACGTTTCCGGGAGGGACTGCTCGTCTTCGCCGTAGCTGGTTGACAACGTGTGGGGTAACTCATGATCCGGCAGCTTAGTCAGGTAAGTGAAGAACTCTAGCCACGGCTCGTTCTGGTTGTCCTTCGGGTCCGGTTGGTCAAGATCTGGGACCAGAGGCCCACGTCCAGGGGTGGAATAGAAGACTTGAGGAATCGGATAGCTCAAGCTTGTGGTGTATTGGATGTCCAGACTGGCCTCGACAGAGTCTTCTGTTGAGTTCTGATCGTTGGAACCGCCTGAGGAATTTAGTATCAAAGCCAGAAATTGTGACACAAGTGGTACGTACCGTTCACAGATTGGAATTTGAAAGTGGCGTTTGCCGCATCGGGACGGTACTTCTGGAGGAACTGGGTAAGATCTCCCTGCCTTGCATATTGGTCCAAAAAGCCATTGACACCGACGAACCCCGATCCACGAGCCTTCGGAGTAAAGCCTTTGATGTTATACAAGTCGATCAAACATTCCGGAGTGATGCTTGAGTTGCAAGAAGGGCTAACGGGTTTGCTGACAGCGCTGACGGCCCCGATCCTTTGCCTGACATGCACTGTATTCCGTTGGGCCCGAATTTGTCCGAATCGTGTCGTGGGCTGGATCATAGAGATATGATCTCGGATGTCTTCTGGTACCGAATACTCGTCGGTCCTGGTGATGTCGACAGGCTTCACGGTGCTTCGATAGATTTGGTAGTTGGTGTTGAGCATTTCCTCCACCTGGCTGACGGTGGCTACGAAGTTGATCCACTCGCCGTCGTCTTCGATATCCTTGGAAGATATACCAGATTCCCCCAGCCAAGATAGGACCGAGTCGCTCGCTTCCTGATCCGGCTGCCGCAGGGCCTTCAGCTCATCGCGCTTGAGATGCTGGCCATACCTCCGGTTATTTGGGGTTGCAATGTCAAGCAGGGTTTGGTGGTAGAGATCCTCGTTCGGCTGGGGGTCTTTGTGTCAGCTTAACTTTCTTCCATGGACAGGCGGCTGGCGGACCTTGGTAAGGGCAATACGGAAGAACATCCGCTTTGAAGGCTCGGGTTTCCCAACGACCTCCCATTCAGAAGGGACATGGACGGACTCAACAACAGCGAATTCCTTATGCGAGGTCCGCGACGCGAGGGCGCTGCCGGCCAAAACGGCCGCGAAGCTCGAAAATAGAACAGAGATTCTCATTTTAAGCTCCAAAGAGATGAAAACAAACCGTAAAGAGCGACAAGATACTCAAACGAATGTTCCAACCAGAGTATTAGCGAAAGTAGGTCGGTTGGACCTTATGGCGACGGAGGGGAGCAGCTTGCAAACGGACAGCATTGCGGGTATCACGATATAAGTAACGATTGCCCCATTGTTAGGTTATGATGGTCCAATTGATCGGCAGAGTTGTTTACAGTAGAGGTTAGACAAGCCTGTTGTATCACGGTCAGATCAAGCACAGATTCGCCGTGATGGAGATTGACGATGCTGGAAACAGGGATTGATTGTCTACATTCATGTTTCGCGTCGACCCGGCCGGTCTGTCATCCTTGAACGGCCAATTTGAGGGAATGCAGCGAGCTATCTTCCAATCCATCGGATCAAACGGCGGGATCGTTGTCTCATGGCGGGTCCAAGTAGGATTTGACGATGGAGAAAGGAGGATCGTCAGGGCGGCGCGGGTTGCAATCCAGGGGGGTCATGGAATGCCTTGTGCAAGGGGCTGAGATTCAGCAAATCACACGTCCTGACGCGAATGCCCAACCACCAACCTCGTCCTTCGGCGCGAGTACCAACAATCCACATCTTCCGACGAATTCGCGTGTATGTACTACCCTGCGAAGGTACAAGGACAAGGCGTTGTGGTTTGCTCAACAGCCGATGATGCGTTATTAAGAGTCTATGCTCACCTGCCATTTCTGGCTGGTCTTCTCTCGTTATCAGATATCAGGATCCATAGCGGGCCACAAGCCCACAACCCTCCGATGGTCCATGTCTCCAGTTCATGGCGCAAGGCGCAAGCGGGATTAAGAAACCAAACAAGCTTCGTTTCCAAGGAAGCCTAAACAAGCTTATCAACCGACAAGCTGCATTGGCACCGCTAGATCCAAGGGCTAGGATAGGGGCCGTCAAGAATCCTCCTCGAAGACCACGGGTACGCCTTCAGCGACGTAGGATGCGGAAGGTGTTCAAGATACAGTATGCAGAGATTTGCCGATCCAAATCTCTACCCGAGTGGATGCTGAAGGGCTTCCCCAGAAAAAGAAGGTAGTATGGCTGATGAGTGATGACTGAAGTAATGGCAGATGGCAGATACCCATGCCCTCATCATCCGTCATGGAGTCTATACTCTTGAGGAAGTGGAAGAATCGTACGGAATAACGTTGTGTGCTACCGAAACTGCCTCCAAAAACGGAGGTTTCTGATGCCATTCTCTGCGGTCTTTCCGCCTAGGCGAAACGCCCTCGTTTCGTTACCGGCGGCGCCCAAAACTCCCTGCTACAGTGCCAAAGCCCTGCACGCGCTCAGGAGTGTGGTTCTACAGACCAAACTTGGGGGGATCCGATTTTGGAATTCCGTCCCTCAGTTTTTCGTTTTTCGACCTTCGCAACTGCTATGCCTCTATGCTAATTTCGGAAGCATGATGGTGTCAAACGCTATGGCTCCGCTACAGAGCCTCCCTTTGCCTTCGCACATAATAACCAATGTCGAGGCCCGTCGCTCGATGGATCGTTTCGTCGTACCCGTTTCTGTTCTCTTCTTTGCCTGGGCGCTCGTTATTTCGCTGTTCCAGACCGATCTCTATTATCCAGCTGCCTTTGTTAAATTGCCCTTCGCTCTCTTACGGGACCGCTCTCTACATCGATCTCCGAGACCATCGTAATGAGAAGGGGAAACAAGTCGCAGCGGCGCGGCAAAACGGATACACCACGAGACTGCGTACTATGAATCGATCTAGGCCGACGACCTAACCCCAGCATCGCGCCCTATCATAGACGCAATCGAGAGGCGAGTTGGCTATGTGTGGAAGAAGTGGATAGAGTGTATTCAAGGCTAGGATTTCCCAAGTTTTAGACTAACTGTCTATACCTCTAATCAGATACTGTTCGCTCCGAATCCTTGACCCCGACGCTCTTGCCCGCCTGCGAAACATCAGCGTAGCCGAGATCCGGGGATTCATGCTCTGGTATCTGGACAACCATGCTATGACAAAGCTGAATTCCTTCTATGTGCTGATGCGTTACTGGCGGATGATGTACGCTCGGAAGTTATACCAAAGGCTTGACCTTGTCATCGCTTCGGATATGAAAGACGTAGGGCTGTGGCTCCCTCTAGAGACTGTCTCTGCAGTATCTTTAACGTATGGTTAGTTCATCGGCACCGTCATAAAAAGCGAGTACAGCTTGAGTGAAGGTATAAAAAAGAAGCCTGTTATGAACGTAGATGATATATACTTGCTCCTATTCTCCTACTGCGCGATATCGAACGAGTACTACGCGCACGAGCGGGAAAGAGTTCAACATAGTCTGATTATCCTTTTCATGATCAGCACCTCTACAAGGCCGTCGACTCTCGTCGAAGGTGGCGGCTACTATAACACAAGCGAATGCCTGAAGTACAAGGATATTGAGATATTCAAGGTCAACGATCCAGAACTCCCCTCTCAACAAGTCTTTTCTTATAAGAGTCCGGCTTCGGCTTCTCAAGGGCAAAAGAGACAAGGGCCTGCCGTAAGTGTTATGCAACCCCTTTTGAGTTCACATCGGCTAAGGTTATAAAGGATCAAGGTGATGTTTTGTGAGCGAGACGATAATCTTTCTTTTTACGCCATTCTGCAGGTTTTAGGTCTCGCCTTCGTCAATAACGCCTTCGACAGCGACTGGATCAAGCAGCCTAAGGACTTCCATACATTTTCGGTCCCATCTCACCAGAAAAGTGTGCAACTACATTAGAAAGAGTTAATATATGACATTACGATTCTCCGGCGATCTGTTGTTCGCGGCGGAGAGGTGACCATATTACCGGATAAATCGGTTCAGTATATGAATCTCTATTACCAGAACGCGCGACTAGGCATATCTGCTGGCTTTGCAGATACTCTCGGGCTATACAGCTATCGCAGAGGTGCTGGTGAAGTGATTGATTGTAAGCGCACATTCTCACTCCTATGTACATTCCTACGCCAGCAATTTTCCTACATCCGCGTGCTTTCTTGGCCTTGTTGGGGCTTCCCTTGCTAACGTCATTTCTAGACGTAGCTGGTTCAGATATGGGGAGCTTTGTAATGTAATGGACCATGCTCGTACAAGTCTCTTTGAGCGCTATTATCGTAATAGCGTTGTCCAGCTCGACTCGGTATCTGCGTCCCTCGAAGTGCCTTCCAAAGACGCGCTGATCAAACTGGCTGGGCATATGAGTTTGACCCGGGATCCCTTCGCGGCCGACTTGATTAACGTCGAGACCTCCGCAATTGACTGCGATCATGGTATCCAAGAAATCGAGAAGTCGTCGTGCCTTCCGCTTCGGAAAAGCGTCATTGAAACTTTTGGGAAGATTAAGAACGGAAGGGGCACGGAGCTCAGCGATACGTCCTAACGCGAGCGAAGCCATTTACGCAGCGAGAGGATCAAGGTGAAATGGGTACTCGAAGTAGAAGTCCGGTGATAGTATTTCCGAACCACCGGGACTAGGTATATCGATGAACAGCGACGCGGCATCACTCGTGAGTATATCGAGCCGAAACCTGTATTCCAATTCGAGGAACGGGAGAGACTAGCAGCGCTCCTCTTCTAGAGCCGAGATGTTCGGCAAGTATCTAAGGAAGAGATTTACGAACAGCGCATTGCAGCGATGGGTAACCTGATCAGCCTATGCGGTCGGCATTTGCCTCGCCCTGCGCCCCGTCGTCATCTCTCGTTGCGAGATAGATCTCTAGAAGAGATCCCCGAGGAGGCGAAAGATTTGGACCCCGATCTCTTCCCGTCCGGGCACCCAATGCCTGTTTTGTCTCGGCAGTCAGAGTCTAGGGCCGCAGTCTAGAATATTCGCGCAGTCACTAGCGAAATTGGCTTCCGCTTAAACGCAGCCCTAAACGTCGTTCCAACTTGCCGCAAGGGTGTTTCACTGTTACTATCATCTTAAGGCGTAATTTGGTTTTAAAGCCTTTGAATTTCTAATCAAACATTACTCATCGGCTGTCGCCACTTGTGCTATTCATGTAGTATATAAAAGACACTATCTGTAAGGGAGGTGGGCGCGGAGGAGGTTAAAGAATGCTTAGGGCAATATCACAAAGTAAGTTCCATGGTCATAACTCTTCCAGATGTATATCCGAAAGCAACAATACCCCCAGAAACAGCAATAATGCTTGGCCGATACTCGCGAGGAAGCCAAAGGATCCGCTCGGTATGGCTACTTACCCAGTTGTCATTGACAAAGATAGAAGACGGATATTGTAGACTGGTTACACCTATACCACCAGAGAGAGGGAGTAAAATAGGCAAGGATCCACGGTCTGTCTGGAGAGAGGTACCATCATCGGAGAAAGAGAGAGCGTAGACGATGTCTCCCATATCATGCGTTTGCTGTAGCACGCCCGACCCGACATCCCACAGCTTGACCGTCGCATCGTCCGATGCCGACGCCAGCGTCTTGCCGTCCGGAGCGAAGGCCACGGCGTAGACCCAGTGCGAATGGCCCTTGAGCGTCTGCTGTAGCGTTCCGGACCCGGCGTCCCATAGCTTGACAGTCCTGTCGTTCGATGCCGACGCCAGCGTCTTGCCGTCCGGCGCGAAGGCCACGGCGAGGACCGAGCCCGAATGGCCGTCGAGCGTCTGCTGCAGCGCGC